TTTTAGTGTTTTGTTTTGTTTTTTTCCCCAATGTTGAAATGAATTCCTAATTTTCTTTTAGGTGAAAATGTCATTATTTCATCTTTAGTATTGAAGGCTATTTTGCTCAGGTGTAGAATTTTGGATAAGAGTAGGTACTGTTTGTCCATATCTGCCATGATCCAGTTTTTGAAGGCAAGCATGTATTGATTTAAATTTTTCCTTTCTAGATAGCATGTCTCTCTCTCTCTGGCTGTTTTTGAAATTTAAAATTTCAGCTGTCAGCTTGATTCTGATGTGGGTGGATAATCTTTATTTGGCAGATTTAACTTTACATGCCTGTGTGCTCTCTTTTGGTTATTGTTTCTTCAGATATAGTTCCTATCTTCTCTTTGCGCTTTCTTATAGCCAAGCTATACTTCATCTCTTCCATTAGGTTTCTGAGGCCTTGTTAATTTTCTTTTAATTTCTTTCCCTTTTTAAATGTTTTGAATGATTCTTATCTATCTGTTATAACATTCACCTACCCTTTTCCCCATCATCTTCATTCTTTCTTAAGCCCATCCAAGACGTTTTATTTTAAACATTCTATTTGTCCTTTTAGAAAAAAATTTTCTCTGCCATCTCCAGTCTTCTGTCCACTGGATGTTCTTTCCTAATTGTGTGCATGTATAGCACCTTCAGTCTCTGAAAATCCAGACATAGTGGTCCTCTTGACTTGGATTGTGTGTGTGTGTGTGTGTGTGTGTGTGTGTGTACGTGTGTGTGTGTGTGTGTATTGTGAATGCTGTTTGTGGAAATTTTAGTTTCTTTATGTTCAGTTTATTTGATTATACTTAAAATTTAAATTCTCTCCCTGTGGCTCCCTGTGGCTAACTGCCACTCACATCTTCATTTGATTCTTTAGCCTCTGCTGTAGACCACTTTTGGCCTTGCATTGTGAATATGTGTTCTAGCTTTAAAGATATAAATCATACTTGGATTTAACAAACTAATACACAGAATCTCTTGTACTTAAACTAGAAAACCCCAAGCTTTATATCAGATGCCATGTTTCCTGCAAGATGGCCTGTCTTCATTTCTAAGTTTTCTTGTGATTGTTTCTTCAGCTTTCTCCCTAGATTTGTTTTCATTAACGTGTAGCATAGTAATGAGAGAAATTGCATTCTAATTGATCCTGTATCACAGTGTGGCCTTGTTGGATGAAGTATGTCACCACAGGAGTAGGCTTTGAAATTGTAAAGATTCCTGTTTGCTGTCTCAGCTTCCTGCTTTGTGTTCAAGATGTGAGCTCAGCTTGGAATTCCTGCTCCATTATAGACTCTTATCTCTCTGGAACCATAAGCTCAAATAAACCTTTCTTTCTGTAAGTTTCATTGGTCATAGTGTTTTATTACAGCAATAGAAAAGTTAGAGTACATTTTTATCATAGCAATGGTAAAATAATAATACACTTAATTGTAGCATGAATAATAAAAACCCAGAGACAGATATTGGGGTTAAAGCTGAAGATCAGAGAATCCAAGTAGTCAGCCACTACAGAGTTCTCACCTGTAGTGCTCATACTATAGGGGATGATTCAGGGAACCTCAGACTGCTCCCTACTGTGCTGCTCTCCACCAAACCTCAGAATGCATTCAGCTCCTGTCTCCGTCCTCCTGCCTTAGATTCCACTTCAGTGCCAGGATTAAAGGCATGGGATCCCAAATGCTGAGATCGTCTTTGTGTGAGCTGTTTCTTTCTCTTTTTTAAGTATCTCAAAGTCAACACATCATAGCTCTGACTATTTTAATCTTTTTTTAAAAATTAAATTAGAAACAAGTTTGCTTCCCATGTCAGTCCCAGCTCCCTCTCCTTTCCCCTCTCCTCATCCCCTCCAACTCCCCACCCAGTCCCTGTTTCCCAGGGAGGGTGAGGCCCTCCATGGGGGGAGTCTCCAGAGTTTGTCATTTCATCCCAGGCTGTTTATCTTTGACTGGATCACTTTTGTGTATCTCAGGATAGCCTTGAACTAATAGAGATCCGTCTGCCTCTGTCTCCTGAGTGCTGGGACTAAAGGTGTGTGCCACCACTGCCTGGACTCTATAGCGTTTGTTAAATCATAAACAAAATATCAATACAACTTACTAGATAATAAATTAAAAAATAGCAAGGTAGGCACACATGGTGGCACATGCCTGTAATCCCATCATTTAGGAGGCTGAGCTAGGAATTTCATAGTGAGCTCAAGTTACACAGCAAGAAAATAAAAACCAATTATACTTTTAAAAATGGGGCACATGAAACAAACAGTTACAGTATATTTTATGTAATTGATTCCATTCAGAAAATCAGCCTCTAGGACATACATATATTTATACATATATATGAAAGGTTAAAAAATTAAAGACATGCTTCAGTGTTAATGTGAGTTTACATATTGCTTACCCATTTTAATTCTGCTGTGCAGAAACATAGTTACATTTTTGAAAATCAAGTAGTCAAAGTACTTCAATCTTTTAATCATTGTGTAGCATTCTCATAACTGTCATTTAGATCCATGGATCACAGAATTACCCTAAAGTTGGTGATTTGCTTATATAGATACTAAAAATGGAAAGGAAATATATGGGAATGATTTTTTTCAGATATTTCCAAACAAATGCTTTCCGTGCCCCATTCTATTGTAACTCTTGGGCATTTGCTTATTTTCCATATTTTTATCAGTTTGCATAATATCCTTATAAAGTTTATCTTCAGGTGTCATTTTGTCTTTTGTTGTGGTTGAAGCTTTGGAAGTTCTATCATTGCTGTCATATTTTTGTGTTTGTATAGCCATTGTCTTGAGCAGAAAGGAGTCATTGATACAAAATGATTACTTTTGTCAGTGCCAGCCACGACCTTTAGTCAGTCTGGCTATGCTGACAATAAAACCACAGAGTTCTGAGTTAAAACTCTAGCTGGATCCTTATTACTCTGAAATAGCCTTTGCGTTTCTTTCCTTGTCCAGTAGCACTGTTTAACTGGTGACTAAACTACCTAATAAATTACCATTTTATTAATAAATTAATCTTTGCCCTTTCTTCTGTCTTGTAGAAGGAGTTAAGAGTCTTTTGATAAATAAAGCATGTGGTTTCTACTGCCTGAGATGGTTTCTATAGCTAGCACTGTCTTTTCTGTTTTTTTTATAAACACATTTTAAATAACATAGAAATCTCATATTTATTGTTTGCTATAAAATATTAAGGTAAATTTTGGTTTCATTTTCATCAGGTCAAATTTCCAATATATAATCAATGAGGATGCCTTTTATATATAAATTATGTAATTACTTGCAGTTTTATGTCATGTTAGTATAGTCTATGGGTTGATTCTCTTAGAAATCTTGTGTGCTTGTTTATAGTGGTGATTATAAAGAAAAAGCTTAAAATGTACCTCTCAGGTAGCTCATGGTGCTGGAGAGGTGCCAACTCTTTTCCATGATTCATTGCATGTGTAGAAGTTGTACTAAATTGGGAATTTTAATAACATTTTTCTAAGAACAAATAAAACATTTTTGTTTAGAAAGCTGGTTCACTGTAAATTGTGCTTGCAATTTTATCTGTATAGTAGTTTCTCTTTACCTGTGGGGTTATATTCCAAACTCCCAGCAGATAGCCTAAAATTAAAGACTTACCTACTCTCCCTCATATATCCATATCTATACATATTCTTTTTCCTACATTATATATGCTAGAGATAAACTTAAATTTCTAAAATTAGGCAGAAAGATTAACATAACCAATGTATAAATAGAACAATTATAATAGCATGGTATAGTAAGAGCTATTAAATTTATTTGTAGAATATTCTATTAGATATTTATCCCAGGGGTAATTGAAATTGTGGATAAAAACTACTGTTCTTATTATCATCTTCATGTCCCCCCTCCCCCAATCTCTCTGGGCTGGAACTCAGAGATCTGCCTCTGCCTCAAGTAAGTGCTGGGATTAAAGGCCTGTGCCACTATGCCCAGCAATTTTTTATTTCTTAAGAGGACTTAACAGCCCTAATAACTGAATTAGTGAGGAGGATATTCGATCTGTCGCCTGTCTTTTGTTTGTCCAGTTTCCCTTACCTTCAGCTGGTTCCTGTAAAACCTTGGACACTCACAAATTGCTGCAAAGGTTGTTGCTTTGTATTTTTGAACATTGCATTTTTTCCTGCATTACAGAAGACTTCAAGTAATACTCTGAAAGAGTTCCTAAGCTTAGTTTCTAACATCTAGGTTTTTCCTCATGTATTAATGATACATTGCCAACACTGACTTTTATCATAAAAATCTGCTCCCAAAGAGCTGATGAGCAATACTGTTCTAGGAATCAAAGGAGAAAAAAACTAGACTTTAAAATATAGAAAATGTAGAAATGACTGTATTGAATCAGAAACACATAAATGACTGGATTGAGAGATTCCAGTTTTTCCTAGGACTGGTGGAAGGTTAAAGTGTAGAGTCGGGCATGGGAAGAGCATGATGGTGACTAGTCATTCACCTCTTGTAAGAGCAGGTCTTCAATTTGAAGTCACATCATGGTTAGAGCTTTGAAGAGTTTGAAGTGCTGCCCACAGACGTACTGCAGTGCAGTCTCACATCACTAATGTGAGGTTTTCTATTCTCAGTTAAGACTATCAAATCTCTAATCTGATAGTATCAAGTTTATTAAACTAAATAGTTACTTTGCTGGCTTTGTTTTTATGGTTGGGACACTGCATTCTTTGTTTTCATATAGAGAAAGTTTCAGAGGAATGGATAGAAAAATGGAGACACTTATGATACTTAGACATTTGAAAGTTTCCTAGGAAATACTTTAGTTCTGAAATGGTAGTGAGAATAACTGAAGAAGCTAACTTGCTATATGTTTGTTACTGAGGCAAGCAGTGAGGTAATGCTAGTTCTACAACGATGCTCATGCCACCATGTGAACTGAGTTCTTATGCACTATTCCACACATCCTGAGGGGATTTTTTTAGAGTTTATATTGTCCACTGTCTTCTTTCCTTAGGTATGGATGAACGTGGAGGAACGACGTCTTGGGGAACAAGTGGTCAACCAAGCCCTTCCTATGATTCATCTAGAGTAAGTTTTCTTGTCTTGGATAGAATTGTAACGATAATTGGGCTGAATAAATGAGTTCTTTCATAAATGAACTTTTCATAATAAAGATTAACTTACTTTTGTAGAAGTATGCTAGAATACCCACAGTGTTCATAGTGGATTTGATTCTTTTATCTACTGCCCTGCTTTTGAGGGTTATTGTATTTCCTACACCTAGAAATACTCTTGTTATCATTGAGACCTGGACTGCCTACAGTGCTCCAAGTGATGCTGAAGGGGCTCAGAGTACCCATCAGGTATTCTTTCTACCCGCATTGCTATTTCTTTGTATGTACCTGCTTCAGGAGATGATAGTGACTTTCAAAGCTCCAGCTTTCGGCCTCTTCCTCAAGCTGAGTCCATCTCTGGATACCATGTCAAAACAAATGTAAAGGATGGTATTTTTTGGACAACAATAAAAAACAAGACCAACCTTGTATTCTACATGCCAAAAGGTGTAAAGATTAGGGCCTTTTCCAGCAACAACAACAAAAAGCTAAGCAAAAATTCCTCGTAAAGTTTTGAAATGAGATAAGAAACAGACAGTTACAGAATTGTAATCAACTTAAACATCATATTCTCAGCCACTAGTATACTGGTAGATTATGAAGTGAGATGCTTACCTAAAAGGCTATATGTTATTAGGTTTTTGCTGTTGTTTATTGTCACCAGGACAAAATGCCTGACAGAAGCAACTCTAGGTGAGAAAAGATTATTTTGGCTCATAGTTTAATGATAGGGGGCGGCTTGTTGTTAATTCTGCAGGGATAGCTCCTGTCAGTGTGGGGCAGTTTGCTCACATTTTGGCTGATGAGGAAATGGACTTTGACCAGGGTGGGGCTGGACTAAAGGACTCATAAGTCCTGCCTTCTTTTCCCACTTCCTGTAGTGAGGCCTGACCTCCTAGAGGTTCTCATTTCTAGAAACTTTGATGAGATTAGACCACAGTGTTCAAACCCATGAATCAGTCAGGCACATTTCCCATTCAAACATAGTGCTGCATGAAAATAAATAATGAGCCATTTCTTATTTCTCTCATAGTACACCAAAAAAATGATAGTTGTACACATAAAGTTTATGGACATTTAACCCTTGAAGCAAAGCGTCTTAAATAATATAAAGAAAGCAGCATGCAGTTGGAGCTTGTAGTCTTGGAATGGGCTGCTTGCTTTTGCTCTGAAAATGTTCTATTATTGCCAAAGGACTTCTGAAGACAAGAGGTTTTGCTGTCTTATTTGGCTGCACTCTAGTTTATTTTAAATATGTTGGTATGGACTATGATGGTTATTTGGAGGGAAACAGACAGGTGCTGACTGACTTTATTAACATACTGGGAATCAGTGCCCAGGAAAGCTGTGTCATTGACCTGAAATACCTTGTCAATTGTCTCAGGATTTAGATTTATGCGACCCCCGGGAAGGGACCCCCGACCCGCGGGGGTGAGGTGATGAGGGTCGC